ATTATATATTTTTTTTTAATTTTATCTAAAAAATGTTCAATTGAACTTAATTTATGTTTAAAATGAATAGCAGAAATTGCCGAGCTTCAAGTTCAATTGAAGTTGAAATTCGGATTCAAATTGCACTCACCAGCAGCGCATCCTTCATAATGGTAAATGTGGTAAACAGGACAATGATGGAGAAGACGAACGTACAAATCGGATCGACAATGGCGTATTCGGGCCAAAAGTAAATGACGCCGGCGGCCACAAAGACGCCGACGCTCTGGATAACATCGCCAATTACGTGTATGAGAGCCGCCCGCACATTCATGTTGACGGCTTCGCGTCCCACCTGACCGCCATGATGATGGGAGCCGGGGGCCGTTTCCGCCAATACGGCAGCTATTTCCAGATCCAGATTGGGATCCACAAGCTTGGAGTTCTGATACGAGTAGGTGGGCAGACCAGCGCCAGGTAGCTCGGCATCCTCCGGATCGAAGGCAACGCCGCCCTCGATGCGTTTGGTGGGCGAGGCGGCACACGGCGTCGATGTGGCATTTGCATGTGAAACGGATCTCTTATGCTTCTTCGCCTTCTTCTTGCTGGCCTTTGAGTTGCCATGACTGTGACCATGCCCACCGCCCAGGCCGTGCGAGTGCCCATGCTGCAGCTGCACACCCATGCTAAAAAGAGACACACAAGGGAGCGGGTGAGCGAGTGAGCGAGACAGGAAATGGTAAGAGAAATTGAAAACGTTATCACAAATATTTAATATACTTGAAAATGTTGCAGACCGATGGCCCGTGGCACCACTCTGCAGCCCACTCTGGCGGCAGGTGGGGCATACTGCCTGCCAGCTATACGGCCACGGGACTCCGGCCGCAAAAACAAAAACAAGAACCATCCACACAAAACAAAAGAGAAAAACCTTTATTTGGGCATGCGGCCGAAGCTTTTGCATTGTTTGGCATTTTATTTCAACATTTTAATGCTACTGCAGCCAGCAAACACACTGTGCACAGTGGGGCTAAGCGGTTGAAGCTGAGTGTTAGAAGTGAAGCTGCAAATGTGAAATGTTTCAGGTTACAAAAATTACAGTAAAGCAGCTTAAGTGCTTGTTTATATTGAATGGGAACTAGTTCTAGAGAATAGAATTTCAATTTTGATTTAGTATTTTCTGAAAATGAACTTGTTTGCAGTTAGAGTGTTACAAGTTGAGCATGCAGACATTGTACTGATTCATATTAAATGGAAACCAGTTATTTATTTAGTATTTTAATGCAGTATTTCAGTTAGTATTTTATTTAGTATATTTAGTATTTTAGTGTTTTGTTTAGTATTTTATTTAGTATTTTTGAAAGTTAGCTAGTTCACATAGAAAAATTTTACTGATCATTAAATATATATTTAAATTGAAATCGAAAAATGGATATGGATTATATTAAATGGAAATAACTTGCACTCTGCAAAATCCCTAGTTTTCTATTATCATATGCGAGTATTAAGAAACTTGTTATCCTAATAAAGAATATATCCATTACTAACCAAAAACTTTTCAAACTTCTCTCTCGTGTATTTTTGGAGAGTTTTGAATAATTACATGAGTTGCGCGTGCCACTGTAGTGCCGTAATATTGGTGTTCTGTGTACCGGAAGGTGTGCAGGCCGCTCGACCGCCCATTCAACTAGCTCCGTCCGTTCGACCCGCTGCTGTGGGATCCGGATGCACCGCTGCATGCAAATACAAATGTATTGTCGAAAATGGCAACCGGTTGACTAGCAGCCACCCACAGACAGACTACCACAGACACACCACATCACACACACACATCCACACACACACACACTCTCTCTCTCTCCTGCTTGCTCAGTCCCAGTTGGTTGTTTGGCTGGTTGCCGGCATGCATCAGGCAGTTAATAGCTCGGCACATTGACTTTTTATTCATTTTAAATGCTCCGACATTGCAGATTTATGGGTTTTCTATTTGGGGCGGAGGAGAAAGGGCCCAGAGGCGTGGCCATACCAAAAAAAAGAAGCCCGAAACGACAAAATTGCCTGCCCTTAGCAACTCACTGCCTCTGCCTCTCTCTCTCTCTCACTCTCTCGCTCTTTTTCATTCGCCCTCTCTCTCTCTCTCGCTCTCTCTCTGACAGCGTGTCTATAGCTGCACTTAGCCGGCTTTTTGGAAACAATACAACTCCAGTGCCGGGCGGGCATCAATAAATAAACTGGCATAAATTACGCACAGGCCAATGACACACACACACCCACACAGACACCCACACATACACACACGCAGACAAACACATTCACACACCCACAATGAACAGCGTGAACAATGTTGTTTGCGGCTAATTGACGTGACGTCACAGTTGACCCAAAGATATTCCATTTCACAATCAAAATAAATGACTTTTGGGATTCGAAAGTGAATAACGAAACGTCAAAACAAGAAAACTGAATATAAAATACATCACGCACAGATATGTTGAGGATGTAGCTGAAACATGTGATTGGTAAAAGTTGCTCTGAAGAAAGTTAGTAAAACTGGAATTTTTCACATTTGTAAAGATAAAGAAGTATAGAGAATAAGTTTAAATAATTTCTTTATGTTTTCACGAATATTTTTGGCTTATATTATTATATTACAACATATATATTTTTTTAAATATGTAAC